CCACGCAGTCCAGGATGTACTGCGTGGAAATGAAGTCGCCCGAGGCCTCGGCCGCCGCCTCCCCGGGCTGGGCCAGCAGGACGGCCCCAGACTCCTGCACCCGACATAGGGTGCCGCCGCCGTGCAGGATGAGCGTCGACAGCCGACGCTTCGCCGGGCTAGGACGCACGTAGAAGGACATGGAACTGCCATCTTCCCTCACGAACAGAGTCGAGGAATGGGTGGGCCCGTTGGGGTCTTTGCCCAAATCCATCGCCTCCGCCATAGCCGACACCAGGAACCACAACAGCAGTCCCCGAAACAAGCCTCTGACGCACAGAGCGAACCCGAACGAACGACGGTTCTAGACGCGTCGGCCGCGAAGCCCCGCCCTGCGCCTGCGCAGTAGCAGCGCGCGAAGAGCGCCCGCCCCCTCCTCTAGGAAGAGGCGGAGATTCCGGCCGTGACCTGGAAATTACTGTGCGACCCTCGTCCCTTTTAGGTCGGGCCCTCGGGAAAGATGGCTGCGGTGCAGGGGGCTGAGGTGAAAGTGGACGGCAGCGAGCCAAAACTGAGCAAAAAGTAAGTGTCGCCGTGAGTCTTTAAGGTCTTTGCGCCCGGACAGTCCGGGCTAGGATGCGCCTCGAGGCTCCGGCCGAGGCGGCTGTGCCTATGGCCTTCCTGCCGGTTCTCGTGGGTCTGGACACGCCGGACGTAGCGGCTAAACCGCGAAACTACATTCCCCAGGTTGCTCCGGGGCCCGGCTCTGGCGGAGTCCTGTCGTCGCATTCCTGGAGTTAGGGTATACAGAAAAATGAGAATTGACTACAGAAAAACGAAATTTACTCCTTCCTTTACCTCCTTCTGGAAGAAAAAAATGCTTTCTTTTATTGCCGAGCCACGCCTCGCTACCATTGGAAGGAAGTTAAATACCCGAGCTTTTCGGGAAGACCTTGAAATTTTCCTTGGCCTCACCTCGGCTTTTCTGAATCTTAAGTATTAAATGGATCATTTCTAAAACTGTATTGTGCACCTAAATATATGGATTATTTAATGGATCTGTGAGTATTGAGTGAATGACCGATGTCCAGTAATAGAATATGAGTCCACCAGTCTACTAGGTGGCACTTTCAAGCCCTGCTGGATAGATCTTAGTTACCCACTCTCAAATCCTTGGTGTGTGAAGATAAATATGAATGTATCAAAACTAGCCGCCCTTTAACTGGCTATGTTTTATATTCCTGGATGTATACCCTCTCAAACAGGGTTCTTCAGTTGAAGCACAGAACACCAGCAATGATTTGTTTTTTTCAGTACTCCCAAGGAGGGGCATAACTAGACTATTCCAGAGGCAGGAGAAAAGTTAATTCATTACAAATAATGACTGCCTTACCGCATTTGGGCTCCGTTCTTTTCTGAATCCTAATGGAATAGGCCCTTAACCAGTAAAAATTAATTTTCTTTTTGTGTCTCTGGATTTATGCTTCAAATATTCAAGAAAAATGAGAAAGGAAACATTAAATTTAATGGTTTGATGGCACCCTTCTGAAGGTAGGATACACATCTCTATAAATGTTTGGAACCTGGTCTCAGACTTCTGCCTTTGGGAAAATTGATTCGACTTTGATCTGTTACATAAATATAGTTGACCCTTGAGCAAGTCAGAGGTTGGGGCATTGACCCACCATACAGTGGAAAGTTTGAGTGTAACTTTGACTCCCCCAAAATTTAACAGCCAACTGTTGGCTGGAAGCCTTATCAATAACCTTAAGAGTGGATTGACACACGTTTTGTATGTTATGTATGTTGTGTGCTTTATTCTTAGAATTAAGTAAGTTAGGGAAAAGACATCTCTTAAGGAAACCATAAGAGGTGGGCACCTGGGTGGCTCCGTTGGTTAAGTGTCCAACTCTTGATTTCGGCTCAGGTCATGATTTCACATTTCCTGAGTTTGGGCTCTGTACTGACGGCACAGCATGGAGCCTGCTTGGGATTCTCTGGCTCTCTTTGTCGCTGGTTCTCCCCCCCCCCACCCCCAGCTTGCTCAACAGACTGAGCCACCCAGGTGCCCCCACCCTACTACTTTTTAAAGCAGCTTCTATATGTCAGACATAATGCTAGAACCATACAAACTTTCTGTCTAATCTCAATAATAACCTTGCAAAGAAAATATTAACGTCTGTTTTTCAAATTAATAAACTGAGGCTCTGGGCGACTGAATACGTTGAAGTGTGCACTCCTAAAGTGTGGTCTGTCCCTGATCGAGGCTCTGGAGCAGAGATCTAAAACCCAGTCCAGAACTCCACAGCCCATGCTCTTTACACTGCCTGCACCTTACCTCCCCACATTGTCTAAGAAAATCGGCTGTTAACGTATATAACTCTAGTGACCATGGGCTGAAAGAATTTTTTTTAACGATTTACATTTCCTTCTGTATCTTAATTGTTCTTGGGACTTCCTTGGTCTGCCTCTTCATGAGTACCATTTTATGCCAGTTATCTTCTTCAAGTTTAAAAAGAGATGGGCTGCCTGCCAGGTGACTCCTTCCCAAATGAAAGGTCAGATTTCTGTAGTCCAGGATCCTTCCTGAAATTCTCCTTTCCTCCTTGTTCCTAGAGCTCAATTAAGTCTTATCTTTGACTCAGAGGTGCTTTTGTGTGGCTTGCTTTTAGCTTCATCTAGAGTTTGCAAATGATAGTGACATTTCACATGCTTCCCATTGCCATCTTTGTCACCAGGGTTTTTTAATCTCCGAGAGAGAAGCCACATGTCAGGGGCTTCGGAAACACCGCCTCAGGTCCTGTCTCCTATTTTCTAGGTTGTTGTGATCATTTCTACCTTTAAACTATGGGTTGCCTTACTCCTGAGTTTTAACCCAGATATGCACCTTTTTACCATAGCAAGGACAGAATGTTGTCAGTTACGGTTGCAGCACAGTGAGTTACAGGGTTGTCCTCAGTTAAGAGGGTCTTCAGTGGAACACTAAAAGGTCGTGCAACCTCCCCTACCCAAAAGAGTAGGACTGCTGGTTGGGTATATACGTACTGTTTTGTCCCATCTGACACCACATCTCTGTTTCCTGTTAGGTGGTGGTAATCATTAGTTCCGGGGTGTTCTGCCATGTTGACGCAAGCTGCTGTAAGGCTTGTTAGGGGGTCCCTGCGCCAAACCTCCCGGGCACAGTGGGGGCAGAGGGAGCTGCGACTGTATCAACTTGCTCCTTTCACAGCGCTTCACAAGGACAAGCCACTTTCTGATAAAAGAAGGTTGGTGCCCTTACCTTCGTTGTTGCTCTGGGAGCAAAAATCCTTCCTTACTTGGGTCCTTATTTGTTAAGCCTCTGACTCTTTGCACTTGTTGCTAAGGAAACAAAGAGCTCTACTGCCAAAACCAATAGTGGTTTCTCCTTTTCTCTTTAGTAAATTCAGATTCTCACTCTAAATTCTTGAGATGACTTGTGGATCTTATTCTACAACAGTGCCGAGAACAAACGTTCCCTTTCCTGTCTTTCTGAACTTGGTTTGCTCCCGAGATTAATTTGGTTTCTAGTCTTTGTTCTATCTCTAGGATCTTTTTGAATTTCCCTTAGGATTAATTTGATTTTCCTTAGGATTAATTTCCATTCCTAGTTGAATGGAAAACAGGTTTTTTATGTTAATGCCAGGAAGAACCAAATGGGCTCTGATGCCTACTGACTGAATTACAGCACAGTAAGCCTAGCACACAGTTCTGGAATGATTGTATTTAAAACTGTTACAAGACAGATTACATCCAGAGATGCCTACTTTGAAGCCCTCAGAGTCCTTTTCTTAAAAATTAGTATTTCACATCACCAATTTATTTTTTCGATTGAGTCACTCTAAATTCATACTGAAAATTAAGAGTGTGCCATAAAGCCAGATAATATACAAGCATGACTTGGTATAATTTGCTATGGTTATTATATAATATTCAGCTAACATTGGTGGTTTGAAAGAATGACCAATTCTGTTTGAATACTGAGGATATCCTCTACACAAACCTGTTTGGTTTCTGGGTTCAGATAGCAAGATTTCAGATCAGAGTGTAGATAGTGAGAGATTGGACCAGCAGTGTATCCAAATCTAAGATTTCTTTCCTGGGTGCAGAGAATAAAGGGTTTAAAGACAGTAAAGGATACCTAGAATGGCTCTCATTTGCATGTTAACTAAATGCTAAGGGCAGGTCCTATCTTTGCATACATTATTAAGTCTTCACATTTGGGGAGGGGAGCGTCCTCTGTTACTTACATTTTACAAATGGGAGGTCATGTGCCCAAGGTCATGTAATTGCTAGGCAGGTATGTCAGGATTAGGTCCCAGGCAGTCTGACTCCAAGGATGTTATATTACCCCCTACTCTATGCTGGTTTGTACACTGCTCTGCCCCATTTGTTTTCTTAGGTCCGGCTACAGTAGATGGGGAGATCAACACTGAGAGTCACTGTTAATACAGTGACCAATGCTAAGGCAGGGATTGTCAATGGTGCGTCTCCTTGAACTCAGAAGAGCCACCTCTCCGTTACCCTAACCTACCCCAGACTAACCCACTCCTTGGAGAGGTGTAGGGAAGGGTGGCAGACAGAGCCAGACCATGTTGCCTCTTCGGTTTTCCTTTGTCCTGGGGTATCCTGATTTTAGTTTGGGATCTCATGTTGGAAAGCAGAGGGTGAGGAAGATCTTTCACATCTTTATTCTAAGCTTACTTTTTCCTTTGTTTCATTCACGTATAGAGTTGACTAAGAGACTAGAAGTGGAGGTGTAGCACCAGGCAAGAGCATTTCCCCCCAGGCTGTTCATATTTTTGATCCGTGGTTATGGGGCAGAACATAGTAGAGGACTCTTCAGGTATCTGTCACATTGAACATTTGCATCTTGCCAACAGTGAGCTAAAGAGACGCCTGAAAGCTGAGAAGAAAATTGCAGAGAAGGAAGCCAAGCAGAAGGAGCTCAGTGAAAAACAACTAAGCCAGGCCACTACTGCCGCCACCAACCACACCACTGACAATGGTGTGGGTGCCGAGGAGGAGAGTCTGGACCCAAATGTGAGTCCCTGGACCACCACTCTGCCTGGGCAGGAGGAAGCTTCTGATGAAGCTTAAGGCAAATTCCTTGGGACCAGTGACTAAGAAGAGAAATAGGAACTGAAAACAAGCTGTGAACCCTGGGTTGCTGCAGATGGATTGGGGGAAGGGGCGGTGGGAGGGAGCTGCCACTACATCTGGTTAAAGGCACAGGCAGTGAGCATTTCTCTAATCAACTCCCAGTAGGTGGTTGGGAGAATCAGTACTTCCAAGTGACTGATTATTCTTCCCTGAAACTAGCTG